GCCGGGGGGTGGCGGTGCCCCGGCGCGCTCCTGCCCGGCTTTGGGTGGGGGTGCCCCTGGGCCTGCGGGGGCGGTCAGAGGTGGAGATTCTGGTTAACCTGCGGGCAGCGTGTCTCCAGCTTCATCGTCCCTCGAAGGATTTGGCCGCTTCCTTCGTATCCTGCTTAAAAAGCCCGCTGAGCTGGCAGGAGGATCGGCAGCGGTCGATGTAGCCCGTTCCGTTCCTTTCCGTTCCGAGGCGCGGTGGGGATGGGTGAGCAAAGCGGGACCCAGAGCCTGGGCTTACCCGAAGACTGACCCGGTTCAAGTCCCTGCAAAGGACTGAGGACATGCGAACTTACAGTTCTCTGTCCGATTTCTTAATTCAGGCACTAATGCGTCAGTTGAAGCGCCCGGCCGTTCTTCTCTAGGGTCCAGCCACTGTTTTGAGTAGGACTGTGTTGGCAATGAAATTCGGTATTGGCAAGGATTAAAATTTATTTCGCTCACGTCGATTTTACTGCACCCCTGTCCTTTCCAGGCACATTTGCCTGTCATAAATGCAAAGATCTAAACGCACATCGCAAGCTATTTTGTTTCGAGGCTTACTGTGAGGGACGGATTTCTTCCACTGACCCGCTTCTGCGTTACTTGGGCTCAGAAAGCTCTTGGCGCCAGCCCCGTCCTTCCCTTACGCACACGCAGCCGTGGAGGCTGAGCAGAGCTTGGCCCTGGGAATTTTCTGCAGGGCCTCCTGTAATAAATTGACTTGTGACTTTGTCAGATATTTTCAAAAGGGATCTATAAAGCCTTGGTGTGTTTCAGCTTCCAAGTATTATTTAAGGTGAAGAGTACAGTCATTTAACATTAACTGAGTCCCTCTTTGGCAAGAAGCGCAGCCTTTTGGCAGAATGGGATTAGTCCTGCAGTACTTGTAAACCTTTTAGGGAACAATACAGGAAGTGGGTGGTTAATGTTTCTTACATTTCAAACAAAGTACATTTACAGAACACCTTTTGCTTTGAGATTACAGGAAACTGTGTAAAGCTAGTTTCGTGAATCATCTGAAATGTGAAAAAAAAAAATCCTTAGGGTAGGGAATCAAGTATCAATGGCTTAGTTTCATGTTAAAGGTAGAAGGGCCTGCAACAGCAGAAAGTATTAGATTAAACCTAGCCAGGGTGGAGCTCCCCTTACGGTGGGTATTTATAATCTTGCAGTGAGTCAGAGGAGAATATGTGAACAATGCAAGCATTATACCTAACCCCACTAATATATCATATTGTCTAGTATCCCAAATCTGAATTATCATTCCAGTATAATGCAAACTACAATGCAGCAGAACTAATGAAAAAGAAGTTAAAAACATTTTTTCAGCTTGACAAAGAACAGTAATTATCAAAATACACCTGCGGATGACGAGCATTCTTTAAAACATAATGGTGGCCCTTACTTGTCATCTGGTAATGGGTATTCTCCTTTTTCACCAATCGACTAGGGGACTGTTATAAATAAAATAAGTAATACTACATCTGTAAATACACAATTACTCCTGCTACAGTTCTGCTGAATGGCTGTGAATGGGGAGGAGATGGGCCAGGAGATAGTCAGGCAATATGAATCTCTGGGACAAAGAACAATGGTATAATTTATTCAGTAATCAGTAGTTTGAAGATACCAATTATACATAAATAGCTTACCTACTGTGTATGAGTTTCCTACCTTTGGCTGTAGGATGTACTTTCAGATTAATTATTACATTTCTGAGGTACTCACTGAATTACCAGGTGGTTTACTACTCATTTTTACCTTACTTTTTACCAGCAGTGTTATACTACGTAGAGGTAGCCCATCACCCACAGAAGGCTTTCTGTACTCAAGAAATAATTTTGTTTTTAAGCATGAAAATAAGAAGCAGGTATTTAATCTCTGGTTTCACTTCCACAGTTCATCTTTCATGTGGAGCCCGTATATTAAACGAATTTTCTTTAGTAGTGGTGTTGATAGCTAGATAATTAGAAATAATTAATTAATTTCAATTGAACGCCTTCCTCTTTAAGAAAATGCTGCAAAGTGTGTTGCTGGTGGGTTAAGCCCATTTTTACTGGCATTGGTAAATTCCACATTCTTGTCTGTTTTCTTTCTTCCTAGGACACAGATTGATCGTGCAAAGTAATTTTGTAAAAAAAAAAAATCACCATAAGTTTTTCCTCATTTATAAGTATATAGTTATTTTGGTTTTTGCTGAGCACTGGTTCTGAAAACTGTCCCATTTTGGAAGCTGAGTTGACTTTGCTCTACTTCACATATAATTTGTTATATGGATTAAAACAGCATGGGGCCCAGACCAACAGTGCAGCCAAATGTTTTTCCCCACATATCAAAAATGTCTACTCCTAATCTCAGGCTCTCTTTTGAAAACTGTTCATAACATTACTAGTTGCTGACCTTGCCAGTGCTACTTCTGGCTGTACATTTTCTCACTCCCTCCTGCTTCCCCCACTTTCTGGCACTTCCCCTTTCCCTGCTGCAGGCTGGGATCCACGGCTTCGATTTCTTCTGCCGAGTGGATTCTGCCAGCTTTGAAAGTGCTTGTGGAGCCTTGTGAGTACGTGGTTTCACCCAGGATGAGATTATTGCCCAGGCTCTTTGGAGGACTAGGGCCAGCATCCCAGTCAGCAGGTCCGGTGCTGACTTCCCTTAAGAATGGAGACCCACCTTCAAAGTGGTTTGCAAAACCACTTCTTGCCTTAAGTGCGGTCCTGGAAGTTTCCTTTCATCTTTGATTAAATATAGAGTGCTTGTGTATTCATGGAAATTGCTGAAACATATTTATATTAGACCATTTAAATGGTTGAGGAATGTAGAATTCTGGATACAGTACTATTGCTGTCCTCTCTTCCCTGAATTGTATCCTATCTCGGATTTATTTAGGGTATTTCTGTGTTTTACAGCCATTTTTAGTTCATGGTGTTTGTAATTCTGACAGGGGTCCTTTGAGTATTGATGCAGTATGTTACTATTTGTATCTTGCCTAAACAGGACCAAAATCCAAACCTGTCTACAGTACTCCTTACACATGCTCAGACCAATACTAAAATTTGTTCAAAGTTTTTCTTGGCAGCTGAAACTAAATTGAAGGCAACGGTCTCAGTGTTGCTTGTTACTGCTTTTGTTTACATGATTCCAACATATTCTACAAACTGGATAGGTTACAGTGCATACCTATTTATTTATTTTAATTTCTAGTTTGTAGTGTGAATGTCAAGGATCCATGCAAAGGGAAAGGGGAAAGCGTTAGTTGTTTAATTCTATGGTGACTTTCCAGACAGCTGTGTAAGAGGTACTTATATTTTTTTCATAGCTCCATGACAATTTTTGTGGAATCTGATGTACGCTCACGATGCCGGTGAAAACCATTACTGCTGCTTTTCAAGCGCATCGATCTTAATACAATTTAAAAAAAAATAACTGAATTACACAAATCACACATCTGTTTGGAGTGTACATGAATTACCAAAGAGATAGAGGTAATGGAAACATAATGACATTTCGCATTTCAGTGTTGATTTGTGATAACATTATGCCTCTTAACAGAGGCATTTAGGGAAAAGAAATGGGTGGTATGTATGAATTCTGTCAGTGCATGAGTCTCTGGGCTATCATAGCAGAAGGATGCATGCTATTTGCAGATCCGCTCTTTGCAAATGATGCATCATCAGTCAGCAAACCACCAGCCCATTCTCATCTGAAAAATGCAGGATCCTTGCTTCCGATCAGATCTTTGAAACCCTTTTAGAAAACTTCCAGTAGATTGAGCAATTAAGACAACAAATAAATGCACCTCAGCACTGTGAAGGACAAAGGATTGTATGTAGTCTCAAATCTGGACTGTGAGTAAGCTCGATCGCTTCACTGCTGAGCATCAATTTATGTATGGGAGGTAGTCGAGAGATATGACACTGGTATAAGATTTTAGTTAAGACGCAGAGATTTGTATATACGTAGTGTTCAAAAAAGAAGAACAAATACTGAAGGTTTACTTGAAGTGTTTGAGAATAACTGAATACGAACGCAGATCTTGACAGACTCGTGGCTACGCAGCAAACTGCATTAGATGCCAATGATGATTTGCTTGAATTGCACAAAGCAGGGGGAAAGCATAAGATTATTTCAATAAAAATTATCTTAGGTCTTCCCTCATGGAGATTTTAAGACCACATGCAGGATTAAATTTGAGATTAAAACACCTACATTTAGGTCTCTATAGACAGGAGCCTACAGCCATGTGTGGTGTCTGAGCTTCCCTTCTAGCGAGTAGCAACTTAGCCAACAATCCATAGTGCCTGGAGCAGGACTCGCCTCGAAGGAAGGGGGACGCCTAGGACTTGATTAATTTGCTAACTATAGTATTTGAATTCCCTTGAGAAAATAGTTTCTGGCTTCCAGCTGCTTCTCCAAAAAGGACACAGGTCTCCTATTGGGTCTGTGTCATACTTGCTTGCTCCCAACAGATGTCTCAGATAGCCTAGGACATCTAAACTAACAGCAGGCACCACTGTTAGGACAACTGAATTAAGCTGCTACTGTTCCGGCAGTTTATTCATTCTCCAGCCTTCTCTAGCATGAGTGTGTTGACTAGTCTTCTGTTGACAATAAAAGGAGTTTAAACATCTGTGTGTAGATGTTGATATTTCTTTGCCTCAACAGAAGCTTGAAATATTTTATTTTTCAGAAGAGAATGTTTTCATAGTATTTTTGACAGAAAGAAACTCCTTGCAAAAA